CTGTGTGCTGTCCCTGCAGGCCTTGTCCCCAGTCCCTGTGCAGCTCTCCTGGAGCCCCTGGAGGCCCTGGCAGGGGCTCTGAGGTGTCCCTGGAGCCTTCTCTTGTGCAGGGGAACAGCCCCAGCTGCAGAGGGGCTCCAGCCCTTGGAGCATCATTATTTCTTAATTATACTACAGATGTTCTGGTTTCAGATCCTTGTCATTCAAAGTCCCAAGGACTTGGTGCAGCTGGGGCCAAATGCCACCAGAAGTTCTATTCTCTCATTCTATACTTTCACATCATTCAAATACACAAAGACAAATTACATTTAAAGAAACAGAACATACATAGCACAGTGTACGTCAAAGAAGTGTCTAAGAGCTTGACAGCGAGTACATCTCTGGTTTGCAGAGATACCTACCAGACACAAGGTATTTCTGTACCAATGTGATTAAGGCAGAAGGTGATTTTTTGTTACAAAAACTTTAAAACTCCCAAAGGTGACATTGCAGCACTGGTCAGGACCAGCTTCTGTGGTCCTTGTAGCACCCAAGCACAGATTTTGGGTAGGATGAAGCCACTCTGGCACCAGTTTGCTATGCAGCTCTTGCAGACTTGCCCCTGCCACAGCTACACAACCAGAACACTCAAGTATTTCTTCTCAAAGTGCCTGTGCTTGAACTGCAGCCACACACTTTGCTCTATGTCAGGCACATTGTCACGGGAACTAAGTGAAAGATTAAAGATCTGGAAACTTCCTCAATCTTCCCATTCAGACAGGGGAAAATATCATAGTTACAGCATCAAGAGAATGACAGATACAGACTGTAAGCAAGAAGGAACACGAACAGACAGAACTGGAAAAGAAAGCTCAAATGTACATTTCCATTGTGGTGGGCCTGAACAGGCAATTAAGCATTGACTAAGCACTAGAGATAGACACCAGATCTGTGACACATCACAAAAAGGATCTGAAAGGTAGAAGCAAGCAGAGTGAAGCTTTTGTTAGCAGAAGTAAAGGTTGGTAAAATCATAAGAAATAACAGACACATTGTTAGTATATTTTTGTGTCTCTCCACTTTGATATATTTTAATGTAGATATTACAAATCAGGCTACACAAAATTGAAGAGGAAAAAGATTATTAACATAAAATACTAAATATTAATAAACAGTTTTCTTATAAAGTTAAAAATTACCATTCAAATGCTTCTATTAACCAGAATGTAGCACAAAAAAATAGAATAAGCTATAGTGCATATAAATCACAGATGTACAATGGAGGCCTGATATCTTCAGGTATCCTAATGCTGAATAGTATAATGCAGAGTAAAGCTTACATTTGCCTGATATAACATCATTAACGGCCAGGAATATTTCTCTAGTTCCAACCAAAGAATACAGACATGAGAAAACAGGCCATAATTGACCACTACACACTGAATTCTGCAATTTCTATGAATGCTACAACAGTACGTTTGTATGGCAGATTAGTTATGATGATGACTTGGGTGATTAATGAAGCTGAATCTGGTTACTGACTCTGCTTTAGTTCCTTACAGATACAGCATTGTACCCCTCACATCTATAAACGCCCCAACAGCACAAACCAAGTCAATTAGATCCCACTGTTGCAGTAACTCCTTACTTCTGCCAGATGCATTAGTGTCTGGAGTTGTTTTTAACAGCAAAGTATAAACTGGATCAACTATTTCAAAGGAAACCATCTAAATTGACTTATTTTTCAATAGCCTTGAGTAGCACTATCATTTCCCTGTCCTAGCACATCATCTACTTGGCAGTTCCTCACTCTAACAAGGATTCTATTTTGCAAGTAATAAAATGACTAATTAAAAAAAAATTGCTTGTCCACAAAAAGTTGTCTCAACTTAGTTGACTGTAGACTATGAATTGGCAAATGTTAACAAATCTCAACAAAAAAGAAGAGGGAACTTAGAGCCAACAAAAAAACTTGGGTTTGAGGGTAAGTTGGTTCAATGTGCTTTGTGAACCAAGAATAATTAATTTCTGGTTTCCAATAAATGAGTTTCTAATATCTAAATTCTACTGCCACGCATATTAATGTCATTTATGCTTCACAACACTGCCCCAGATCTAGGAGCACTTTACAATTACTTTGCACACCTACTGAAAGACCGCAGAGACAAAGCAAAGTTGACTCAGTAGAGAAAAATCTCCTTTATGAAGTCACAAAAATAAATACCATTATTTTTCCCCTCCTTCCAAAACCACCATTGTTTCTTTAATTATTGGAGCATAACAGAATTGGCAGGACAATCCAATCCAGGTATTTTATATCCAGGATAGAAAAAGGTCCATGCACAGAGGTAACCTGGATCCAGTCAGAGGCCAAACCCAGAAGTAATTGGTGTGAGGATGTTGGTTGTGTGGTTTCAGAGTTACGGAAGCTCATGAGAGGAAGAAAAACAGGCTACGAAGGATGAGAAGCAGGAGAAGGTTAACTGTGGGAAAGGGTAAAATTCTGCTCATATCGTGTATAATTATCACTCTTGCTGAATCACAAGGAAGGAAAAGGAGGGTGGATCTAAAATACGGTGCTCGTAAGAGTTTGTTGATCTCCTGCTGCAGAGCAAGTGACTACAAAATAGTAATAACATTATACATGGTAATTTAGATGACTGTGGTATCAAGTAAAATAATTAACAAGTACAATAATTATTTTAGGCCTCAAAATGCCATATTAAAAATACTTTTTTTTAAAACCCGGTTCCTGTCTCCTTTCACACTTACCAAGGCAGATTATGTTTAGACTATTTCAATAAACTTACTTTAAGCATTATGTAGTATTTAAAAGGCACTGAGCAACACAGAAGTGAGTTTTCAATTCTTCCATTCTTCTTTCAATCTCTATCATGTAAAGATTACAAAAAACACAGAAGTAATACAATACATAAATCACATCAAAGTTTTCAACAGCTGTTCATTGCTCAAAATTCCCCTTTGCACCCTAAGAGACTATCACCTCGTGTTGCTGCATCTTCATTTGTGCTGCATTCTACCCATGCACCTGAGGCTACATGAACCAAGGTATTGATTTGATAAGAGTTAATTCAGAGATAAGACAGGCAAATATGCCATTTACTCTACAATCCTACTGTGCCCACGTTTCACCTACAGTCAAACATCATATATAGGCAAATAATTTTTAAAAAATCCCAAGCAACTGTCTGGGCATGGATAGAACATTTCTGTTTTTTAATAGGATGTAGCACTCCTTTTTTCCCTTTTCCCAGGCAGGAAATTAGAAAGCTCTTTAAAAAGGCTCCTCTTCTTAAAGCTTTAAATGAAGACACTTAATTTGCTGGGCTAAGAGATGGCACTTCAGGTACTCATGAAAGAAGCAAGAAAACAAGCGTAGGCGTATGCCAAGGTAGTTGCTAAGGGAATGGTTCAAGAGGAGTGAAGGAGGTGGGAGTGTAGGAAGAGACAAGAACAGATGTAGGCTGAAATCTTAAAGAGTTTGCATTAAGAAATGGAAATTTAATATACAACGAGTAAAAAGTCATGGGGGATATCACATAAGAAGTGTTACAGAGGGAGGCTCAAGTGGTGGCAATATAGATGGATTTATGTATCAGTCAAGTAACCAGAAGAGGGGATAAAGTGTTCTGCCTGTGGCAGCACTGAGACAGAAAGACACTAGAGAGATCAGAACTAATAATAACATAAATAACAGCAATTATTCAGGTAATACTATGTACCAAAATATGCAGCAAAAACTGAAAAACTACAAACCAGATACAGAAAACTGCTTTAGAAAAATACGTTAAGAGAAATTTCTCCTTGCAATTGAAACGAAGGAAAAGAATATACCTCATGGGACTCTAGAATAGAACACTGCAAAGAACAATTTAATTAATCTGGCGTGCGTGTAAGTGAATCGCAAAGCAAGCCACTACTTTGTGCCGGGCTTAGCTTAGGGACGCAAGCCAGGCGCGGCCGCGGAGGGTGTAGCCCGGAACGCAGAAGGAGCGGAGCGCAGCAGCCGTGCGCTTTTACTGCCGCCGTGAGGAGGGACGCGGGCACTGCCTCCGACTGCAAATTCTGGCAGACCCCTTGCGGCCTGAACTTTAATATTCCCTCAGGAGGCTGCCAGTGAATTGATTTCACAAAAGAGCTAAATAAATAGTATCGGTTTTAACAGCAACTGACTTGCAAAGTGTTCTCCAGTTTATCGGGGAGAAAGAAAATAATATCTACCTTTTCTGTTAGCACTGTATTATGTTTTATTCTCATTCAGTGGAAAAGAAAAAACCTCTAGGACAGATTTTTATAAACCAGTAAAACACATCTGGTGCGGGGAAGGGAGCAGCCACCAGCTAAAACAGAGTGTATAATATAACAAAAATGAGAAACCTCTTTCTGAACAACAAATGGCATCAAGTCTTTGCTATTCTTCAGGCAGTATTTCTCGACAGCAAACAGTCTGGGAAAGGTCAGAATCTAGTCATACTTATCAGGAAAAAACATTAGTCAACTTACTGAGAAAGGCACAATATGTTACAAAAATTCCTATCTAGGTTGCTCCCTTACATGAAAGAACCCTCCCTTGGTGATCCCTTGGGACCACCTAGCCCAACCTTGTGCTCAAGCAGAGCCACAGAGCAGGTCACCACAGGCACAGAGTAATTGTAAAGAATAAAATGTGCACATAAAACTATTTCTTGCAACACTTAAAGTAACTTGAAGTATGTGATTCATCAAATAGGACACTACTTGGTTGGTTGAAGGATTTTTAATGTGTCAGTAAAAAAAACCCAGGGGCTAGGTGATACTTTTACCATCTGCTGTCCTGCAGGTATAACTGCTTCAGACTCTAACACATCTCAAGATGGGCCATGCAGGCCTGTGGACAGCTTTTCTACACTGGTATCACTTGCTGAAAAAGAAATGGGCTACAGGTGTGTCTGCAACAGAGGGCACACAGAAGGCAATTCTTCATATGGTCTGAAGTACAATTTATAGAAAATCAGACTCACTTGCCACCCCAGATGCAATTCCATAGAGCAGTCCTCCTCCATCTGTTTGCTGCTGAAAGACATGGGTCCCTGGAGGAGGGCTTCTCTCTTGTCTAATGAAATTATACAGCAAAGTTTTCACAAGTCTGCTGGTGTATGGGAGACTGGAAAGAAAAAGAAATACAAAAAACTTTAGTTGACTCACCACTCACAAAAATTAACAAAACAAAGTCCAGGTAGGGCGCAAAGGCTAGTGTTTGGCATTAAAGATGGTCAGTAACTCTCCCGGTCCTGACCAGACTGGAAAGGGAAAGAACACCAAGGCCTTGCTCATGCAAAGCTGCCTGGACTTCAGCAGGGGTCTGAAGGAGCATCTTACACAGCAGGACCATGAAAACTGACTTTTGGTCTTTGTTTTTTAAATACTATTTTTAAATAAACCGTTCAGTTTGTAGAATCATTGTATTCACTTACCTCAATACACCAATGGTAAAAAATATTTATGCAATGAAAAGAAATGCTGTGTTTTTTCAGTTTTTACTCCATGCTCTAGTAACACAGAGCAGGTAACAACAGCATCTCTCCATACACACAATATTTTTGTCTGTGTGTGCAGCTCAGAACCAATCTCAAACACCTTTTCATACCTCAAGGATTCCATAATTCTAGGAATTTGCAAAGACCAATGAAACAACCAACCTTACATCAGTGAATCTGAAAAATGCCAGTAGAATTTGTTTGGTTTAACTGAAATGTAACAGTATTTCCAAAATGGAGTAGCATTTCCACAAAAGCAAACAGCTGGCTCCCATTCCCATCTGATTTAACGCTGAAAAGAAGGAGCTCTGTTAGGATGGACCCTCTGACCATCTGCAGAATCCTAGAAGGTGAGGGGCTAATGTGCATGTCCCAAACACCAATAGCTGCATGGTGTGGAGCCAACCAAGGGTTTTTGGGAATAACAAACGAGGACTGTTGGTAAAAACACACCAGAGAAAGACCAGGATGTGGCTGGAGTAGGGGCCATATGAGGCAGGGCAGCATTTCTGGGACAAACCTCCTGTGGCTCCTGCAGAAAAGCACAGCCTGGCCTGGCACAGAAACAGGGATGGGGCTGAGAAGGGCCAGGCACTGCAGGGGAAAACGAGCCCATCCAAGACCCCAGAGCCTCCAACCCATCTCCAGAAAGGTCTGAAAGAACCACTGCGAATGAGAACTGACTTGCACAAAAAGTGGGAAACTTCTCCCCAGGGAGTGGAAGATTTCAGTGTGCCCCACAAAGCCCAGGGACCCAGGACATCCCACCAGCTGGATCGACACTAGAGCCAGGACTGGTGATCTCTCTGTTTTTTTCTTCCTTTCTCACTCCCCTCCTTTGATCTAATTCTCTCTCTCTCTCTCTCTCTCTCTCTCTCAATGTGTCCCTCTCTTTCTCCCTTACAGCCCCCCCTCCCACCTTTATACAAACCCCACTGTGCTCACACTGGGATACCAGGGACAGACACGGTTTTCCATGTCAAGTGTGTAATTTACTAATAAAACTTGGCAGATCCTCTGACTTTTGTCATTCCTTTTGATCATGAACATCTACAAATCCTGGGTGCTTCCCTCTCCTTAGGGGTGAGATGTCACACCAGTGCCACTCCACCTGTTCACATTGCTCTTGATTCCCAGCCACCAAATGCCTACGCCTCTCCCCAGAGGTCAGGCTCCTCCTACCCCCAAATCAGACCTCTCAGACCACATACTAACTCTTCCCCCAAACATTCCCCATTTTCCCCCAAACCCTTGATTCCTTCTGTCCAGAGACTGAAGTACCAGGATATCCCACACATCCTGAGGCTCTGGCTCTATCCTGCTGCTGTTTTAGGCTGAAGTCTGCCCTGTGCTCCAAGCTGAGTGTTCCTCCTTTCCCTGCACGTCACAGTAGTATCTGTCTCTTACACCTAGCAGAAACTTCAGGAAACCAGAGAATAAATACATTTATGACAAATCTGCCCACATGGAACTTGAAGCTGAAAGAGGATGAATGGGAGCCTGACTAAAACGCATGTAAGCCACCATGAAAGCACTTGAACACAACCACCAACTTGCCAGAACAAGTGGTGTAACACAACCAAGTCTACCCCCAGCTCAGTGCTCCCTTCAGCTCAGCACAGCATGTGTCTTCATCTTCCCAAGGACTGCTGCTTATCTGGATGGCAAGAAAGCACTAACATTTCTAAGGGACCTGAATTCTCCAGGCTGCAGTGCTACAAGACTCATTGCTGAATCAAAAAACCATCCTGAAAAGTAAATACTGATTTACGTTAATGAAACTACCCTCAAAATATAAAATTATTTCCAAATTAGTTTTACTGAAGTCTGAGCAGTGAGATTTCCACCCAAATCCCTCTAAGAGCCTTTACAGATGTTTGCTTTTGTGATCTCTTTTATTTTGAGCAGAACAGATTTTCTATCAAGATAACATTTTGCTGCCTTCTGTTTTCAGGTACAAACAACCCGAAGAAGCCACCAGCAGTATTCGTTTTGCCCTTAGGCAGCACCCCAGAGCAGGACATACCATCGACCATGCATCAGGTATCTGTGAATGATGCTCTCTCGCAGAATCTCTTTGTGGAATAATTGGCAGGAGAGGAACACAATGAGAGTTGTCACGGCTTCCAAAGAAATGCTGTATGTAATATCTCTGCAGAATAAAGGGAAAATTACAGAGATTAATCTAGTGGGTTGTTTACCAGCTGATTTCCAAGAATACTTGGTAGCTTCACCTGAAGTTATACACTGTGTAGCACAGAGAGTTTCAAGTGGGAACATGTAAACAACAAATTCAAGAAACTCAGAATCGTTTCACACCAAAAATGGGTGTTTTTCTTAGAAATAAGCACTGTTTTCAAACGCCAAAGGACAAAACAATGTAAAAAGAGATATTGCTCATGGCACTCAAGTTGCAATTGATAGACTATACTTCTTCCTCAAAATAATAAGTATCTCTCAGAAGTGTATCCTTTGTACTATTAAACAAAATTGTCACAAAACCATCATGCTAAGTGAGGGAATGAATGTCCAGCTAGCCCAACACAGCTCTATCTGCCAAGAAAACTGGATCCCTATGAGAAAAATGTAATATACAAATGCCAGCTCAAGTATACAAAACACTCAGGGTATCAGGATACCACATACATTGCTCAGTTTTAAATGGTATCTCTGAGGTAACAGGGAAGTAGAAAGTTTCAAGGTATTACAAGGTATTCAAGATAATCACAAAGAATGAGCTGCAATGCTTAAACACAAACACCAGACAGTTCAGCACAGTTCATTTAGCTCAGGCTGATTAGGAAAGGCTGTGCAGCAGAACAGATGATAGGCACACTATTAAAAGTATCTTGTGCTTTCTGTTCCCACCTCTACCTATAATGACTTTGTTACAAATCTTGTTTTTAAAAGGGAGAGAAAAGCAGCATTTGCCTCCTAAATCAGTAACAAACTACAGACTGCAGGAAACCTTTTGAAAAACACAATGAACTAACTTGGACATGAACCAGTATCATTCTTACTTTCAACCAAAGACCATTTTTACATCCTCCAAAATGAGGTACTTCATTTGGTGCAACAGCACCATCCTTCAGTTCATCAGAAATATTGTTATCAAGTACTGTTACTGTTGTCACAAGTCCTTTTAATGCTTCTCCCACTGCCACTATTTAATTTCCACAGTATGCTTCACAATCCAGTATTGCTAAGTTACAACGGTTTCCCTGCAACAGTAATGAAGGTTTTCTGACCTGGGACCTACTGGAAATTCAAAATCTGTTTATTACTGTCAAATGCAAATATTTAGTAGTACCTATATTTAAGATTAAAAAAAAATCAAAACACCAAAGAACAAATTAGCATCTATGTTGTTTACTCAGTGGTGTTAAATTTTTCTTTGTTACAATGTCACCTTCCAAAAATTTTATTCTCAACAGTTAGAACAGGTATAAGCATAAAACTGCGTGCTCTTTCAAACAATGATGACTTGAAAACTACAGTGTAATCTCCCGAAGCAAAATTAACCCCAGAAAAAACTAGATTTTCACTAGTCTCAGGATCAGAGCAGGTGTGGTCCTCACTAAAATACACAGCATTTTATTTAGAAGAAATGAGTCTAATTTTTAACACAATCAAATAGCTTAATATTCTCAAGTGTGCTGCCAGATATGCTGTAAACAACACGCATTACTGTCAAGTGTGAAAACAAGAATTTCACGCATCACAATGCACAGACAGCTTAAGTTAAGCTCTTCTGCAGCAGCTCCAGGCCAGATTTTCTCCGGAGTGCAGTTATTTACTCAAAGCCAAGAGCAAACTGGAATCACAATTTCCTGGATCACAATCCACAAAACTACACCACATACAAAAATGTTTTTAAAAATGAAGGTTGTGCATATTCACTGTTTTTTATTTTCTCTCACTTCATTTGAGTATTTGAACCCCAAGTATTTGAAGTTATGGGTTGGGAAAGGACATACTGCCTAAGTAACATTTTCCTGAAAATCATGATGTCCTTTTGAATTACTTTTACTCTCTGCAAGTTACCTGACTTTTTGCCCACTCCTGAGGAAGTTCGCCAGTGTAAATGCTGATAATTAGATCAGGCCAGAGGTTACACTCTGATCTGGTTCCACTGCAAATTCATCTGAGCCAGAAGCAAGGCTGCACTAGGAACAGAGCCTGCTCCCTCTCCCAACCAGAGGAGCTGTGCAATCTGCCACCCACACGCATCCCAAGCAAAGCAAAGAGGACTTACATACATACATAGCATCAATTATCAACGGTTCAGCTACCAGCAAAAAAAAATTAAGAAATGTTTTTCTCTCAAAATAAAAGCAACAGTTTGGGAAAATACATTTTTTGATATTATAAGAAAAACATTCAGAAACTTATCATTATGACAACGGCTGAGAATACAACAACGTCTCCTACCCCAAGGTGATGAATGAAAAGGGTAACAACTTCATGACCTACTACAGCGTGCAGTGGGTCACTATTCAGAGAGGAAACATACTTTGGGGTCTAGTATACTTTTTCTCCATTTCAATCATTCATTCACTTATTTTTATTATAACCCACACAGGTGGAATAGCAAATTTGAGGAAACATTACAAAATAATTTTCTGTTTTCATAAGAATCAGCATAAAAAAATAAACTAAGAGATTACGGTACTGTATTAAGGAAAAAAAAATAAATCTGCTTTCAATATCCTTATATAACTCAGACAGACAGAAAAAAAAACAGAATGGTAAATTCAAGCAGTCCCAGTTAGTGAATTATTCTCATTTTCTCTAAGTTCAAAACCCAGACAAGGCACATTTAACTGCAGAAACACTCCACTAAAACCTGTAGAATCTGTTCAGATTAAATCTGCTCTGACATAAAGACAAGCAGGGTCCTGATATCTGGGGTAACCCCATAGGTCCAGTCACCCTTAATTTATCAGCAGAAGGATAAAGCTTCAGAGCAAAATTATTTCCTCCACCAAGGGTCAAATGTATGGTTTTCTGAAACTCAGGCATTTCTAGAGGACCACAAGAACTACCAGGAACCTCTTTCAACTTCAAAGAACACATTGTTTATTTATATTGAGAGACTATATAATAGGAGGTCTTGGTTTTGATTTTTTTTTTTTTTTTATTCAAAGCTATCAGTCATATAGAATGACTTTACATGGAATTTATGCTGATCTTCAACTTCCCCTGAAAACTGTTTGCTTGCAGATAAGGAGGAAACTAGAAATAATGAACTCATGTATCAACTGCATGTCAAAATTATTTAGCTATTTCTTTCAGAAAGCCAGAATAACTGCATGTTGTTTTGAGCTTCTGTGGCATTTTTCCTTTCCTTCTCAAGTGTCTTGCAAAACAAATTAAAAATCCACAGATAGAGCTCACATTCTGTGTAAATGGACTTTAAAAAGCAATGTACCAAAACATACAGAGGTCTTTTCTTGCTCTTGTTTTGGATTTTCTCTTTTGGGGATTCATAAGATATTCTAAATTTTTTCATCTTAATTCTCTCTCTCTCCTTTCCAAAGGGAGATATATTCCAATATCAGGTAAGCAGATAATGTAAGTTAGCAGATATTAGAGGTCTGTTTCTGAAAAGACGTCTTGAGAAACACACATCTTTCACATGGAAAGAATCTGAGATAGATTGAAGTCCAGAACTCATGGCAACCGTTTCTCTCCTGCATTTGGGTTCTCCTCTTATCCCAGGCAGCTGTCCTCCTGGTACCATACCTCGTATGCAATGGCATCCTTGGACCAGATGGAGCAAGCCCAGGTTCTCCCATGTGACACCTGACCTAAAACTGATTTCTGGCAACAAACCTTACACATAACCATGTACTCTCTGAAGAAAAGACATACCATGTTATATTTATCCAAGATTATGTTAAATTACGGATTCTTCATAGAATGAGGAGCTCCAAAATGCAAGATTTCCTGATACTAGCATAACAAATTTGTGTATTTAACGTGTGTTTGGTGTCTACATTTCAATGAAAAACTGATACATCAGTGGATTCCTTCCAAAAGCAAATGATGCCAGATAATTTCAATAAAAATTTTTAAATTAAACAACAAATGAGTTCATGATTTATAATCATAAATAAATCAGTAATTGTTACATAAAACTTATTAAATCAAAAGACAAAAATTAGAATAACAGAATGGTTTGGGATGGGAGGCACCTTGAAGGTCATCCAGTCCCATTCCCTGCCATGGGCGGGGACACCTTCCACTGTCCCATGGTGCTCCAAGCCCCATCCAACCTGGCCTTGGAAGGGATGGAAAGTCCACAACCTCCAGGAAATACATTCTACTGAGTCAGATCATGTTCCATTTTAACCTGTGTTGTCAGGTAAGTAACAGAGATCCTGGGCTCCTCTGGGACCTCAACAGCTGCTTTAAAGGAGCAGTGCATTTAGACATACAGTAGTACTGCTTTAGAAGAAATTGGTGCAGTACCTAATTCTTCCAAGATATGGACTGGAGAGAATATCACTTATCTTCTGGTCTTCCACCAAGAACATACATTTTAGTTGATTTATTTTATTTTTTAACTTTGATGGCAAACTCGTAACTTAGAATCATCAAATCCTAGGCTGGTTTGTGTCAGAAAGGACCTTAAAGCTCATCCAGTTCCACCCCCTGACGCAGACAGGAACACCTTCCACTATACTGGGTCACTCCAAGCCCCGTCCAACCTTAGCCCAAATGCTGTTCCCAAATGATGCAATCAACCCACACAGAACAAGAACTATGATCCTGTTAAAATCACAACTCTCCAGTATCCTGGCATCTGCTTTATCCATTCAAAACCATGTGCATGACCTCCTATCAGCATCACCTACCAAGAACTTCAACAATCTACCTATGTGTCACCATCCTGCTGCTGCTGGCTCCTCTCCAAGGCCAAGCACTGCTCACAAGTGCTTTCTGTGCTCCCAGTCATTCAGCTTTGTTCCCTGCCTGTGAGAGAGAGGTCTGTGACAGAGGAACCAAGGTGAAGCATAGAGGCACCATAGAGGAAAATCTCAGCTACAAGCTCCAATTAACACTCTGAAGGCACATGCTGTTGTAAACACTTTAATTACTCACTGAAATGCAGCTATTTCTATATCAGCAGAGAGGCTGAGAGCTCAT